GGTTGTTGTTATTATTATTATTATTGTTATTGTCACCGTCATTCCCGCCAAAATTATTTCCAAACATCTTATCGCCTGCTGTCTGATTAGAGCTCTCAACGTGACGAGATGTTGGCGACGAGAATAAAGAAGAAGAGGATGATAAATGAGATGACGATGGTGATGATGCAGATGATATAGATGATGATACTGATGCTGATACTGATGATACTAATGATGATACTGATGATATAGACGGTGATACTGATGATATAGATATAGATGACGAAGGTGATGGAGAGGATGATTGTAAGACATTAATCTCATTGGTGGCGACCTTGATGTCAGATGAGTTGATGCAAAATATGGTGAAAGTGATGACCGTGATGGTGAATGTGAAGCAGTAGATCATGTGGAGAACTAGGAAGAAATACCTAATGCACGGACTATGATGATGATGATGATAGTGGTGATTGTAATGATTATGATAATGATTATAGTGTTGCTTTTGATCGCTATTATGCATGTTGTTGTTGTTGTTGTTGTTGTTGTTGTTGTTGGCATGGAGTAAAGGATGATGATGATCTTGTTGTCTTTGGGTAGTTGTTGATGGTGGTGATGTTGTTGCGTAGTTTTGTTTTTGGGTAGATGCTTGTTGCTCTTGTTGTTGTTGTTGTTGTAGTTGCTGTTGAGGAATCACTGTTAAGTCGGTAATAACGTTGTTGTTGTTGCTGATGTTGTTGTTTAAATTGCTGGTTGAACCAACGTTGTCAACTGATGTCGTAGTGGTTGTTGCTAGCGTTGTTGCAGCAACCGTTGCACGTTGCTGCAACGGTTGCATATTTAATGTTGAATTTTCCAGCATTTTTGTCGTCCTCTGTTGTTGCAACAGATGCACAAACAACACAACAGCCAAAAAAGTTGCGACGAAACACGAGCAGCAGACAAATGTCGTTGTCAAAATGTTGTTGTCAATTGCTGTTGTTGTTGCTGTTGTTGTTGCAGGCTGTTTTTGGTTTAATTGATGTTGCTGCTGTTGTTGTTGTTGATGATGGTGTTGTTGTTGCATATAGTAGTGTTGTTGGTTGTTGCTACTTGCGTGGAGTTTTACTTTCATCTTGGTGACATTGCATTAGTAGCAGCAATTGAAAATAATTAATGATATACTTATTATTTATATTATTATTGTCGTTAATTATGTTATAATAACATTGTTGTTGTTGTTTTTGTTATTATTGATGTCATAATCTTATTATTATTATTGTTGTTGTTATTAATGTTATGGCTACATCAATAAAAAAATTAAAAATCCAATGAAAATTATTAATTTCCTTTTGAAATGCTTCTTCAAAGAAATATTCACAAACCACAGAATTACGATAAAATAAATAAATAAATTTAATGACAAAAAAAATATAATTATATTATTATTATTATTACTATAATTATTATAATTTTTCTTCTTCTTCTTATTATTATTATTATTACAACATCACCTCCATCATCATTACTCTCGTAATCGTAGTCATAATGTTTATCGTCGTCATCATCATATTTGGACATCATCACAGCCTATGAGTTACATCCTACTTTAAATTTATTTTTCATTGACAACAATCGGAATAATTAAATAAACATTGGAGAAGGCAGGTTACTGTTAGAAATTCCTTGAAATAAAATTGGTCTAAGATATTTTCTTCAACATCATCATCTTCTTCATCGCCATCATCGTCATCATCATCATCATCATTATCATCATCCTCGTCATAAATATCTTCATCATCATCATCATCAACAACATCATCATCATCCTCATCATCATCACCAACATCATCACCATCATCATCATCATCATCCTCATCATCATCACCAACATCATCAATATCCTCATCTCCATCACCAACATCATCATCTTCACCAACACCATCACCCCCATCAATATCACCCCGACGATCTTCGTCACAACCTGAATATGGAGGCTTTGCAATCATCACTTGGGAACTCGACGGGGGAGATGCTGGTGTAGGGCTGTCGGAAGATCTCCCCCAGGAGGGGTGTGTATTCGGCGGTCACGAAACTGTTGGACGAGGAGTTCAAGCAACTCGGGAATGTTCCCTTGCAGAAGTTTTTAGAGGGGGAAAAATTTTGTGTGTGTGAGGTGAGGTTTTTTTGGTATCGGTTGTGTGTGTTTTGTGTGTGTGAGTGCGTGTGTGTGTGCGTTTGTGTGTGCGTGTGTGTGTGTGCGTGTGTGTATGCGTGTGTGTGTTTTATTCGTTTAATGAAGGTTTTTTGAAATTTTG